GTGGACAACAAAACTATGGCCATGAGCTTCCTCTCGTAAACTGACTTTTGCTGGGATTGGGGAGAGGAGGCTTTACTTAAGAAGCAATTGGCCAAGACTACTAAACCAGAACTGCCCCAAGTTCCTACCCCAAGGCATCTGTGTGAACTTTGTGGAATCTGAAATTAGGAGGCTACCAACACTAGTACAATAGTCATGGCTGTTGTATGCTACTCAAAAGCTTGTTGGGCTTCTTTATTCCAACTAAAGCATATTTCTTAAGCAGTTGGTTAACGTAGTGCCATGATCCCATGCCCCTTTACAAACCTCCTAAGTAACCTATGACCCCTAAAAATCTCCTCAGACTTTTTCACTTATTCGGACTGGCCATGCTTTCACTGCTTCCAATTTTTGAGATCTACCTCTCTCCTTTTTCCTACACTGGGTGACCCAAATATTCAAGTTTCCTCTACCCAAACAGACATTTCTTATGGTTAACCACCAAATCATGATCCTGTAGTATCCTAAGGTTTTGAAAAGGTGCAATATATGGTGTCTATGTATAGGTTGTAAATTATGATGTCATAAAAAAAGTTCAGGCAAATTTTATGAGGACAGGTTTGAATATAGTGTTCATAAGGGTTTGGAAGGTGTGAAGGCATTAGTTAACAAAGGGAATCACTAGGATTCGTAGTGGTCTTCATGAGTTCTAAGGCTGTTTTTGATACATCTTCCTCGTTACCTCCAATCTGATGGTATCCTGGCTTAAATCAATTTGGAAAAAAGGGTTGCTCCGGCTAGTTCATCTAATAGTTTCATCGATGGTAGGGATGAAAAATTGTAGGTAGGGTAATACTATTGAGGGTCCTATAATCGATACAAAACCTCCAGCTGCCATCCTTCTTCTTAACCAATAAATTAGACTCGTAAAGGGGCTGGTGTTGGGTTGGATGATGCCAGCCACTAACATTTCGCCAACCAACCACTCAATCTCAATTTTTGAAAATAGGGTACCTATAGGTCTGATGTTAAGGGGTTAAGCTCTTTCCCTAAGCACTATGGCATGGTCATGTTTTTTTTTGGGGGGGGGGGGGGGGGGGGTGTAATCTAGTGGTTGATCAAACATTGTTTAAACTCCTCCAATACCCTTGCACCCTAGGCTCTAAGCTCCTCTTCAAATTCTAGTTTATACTCATTGAACATAATTCCACCAAATACCCAGTTCCTGCTGTTTGTACTGACCTCAACATGGCTTTAAGGATACAATGTTTTTACCTGTGAGGGGTCCCCCTGTAACATCACATGTCTCCTTTCTACCTCAAAAGCCATGGTTAAATTCTCCAATTCGCGCACATGTCCCCAAGTGAACTCAACCAGGATACTCCTATACCACATCTACTCCTCCTAAATCAAAAGGAAAATAACTTGTTGGCACCATAACTCTCTGTTCTCCATTTTTATTCGTATACATATCCCTTCCCCTCTTACTGTCACCTTGTTACCCACCATTACTCCAAAAGTCTTTTCCCTTTCAACCAATATACCCAACTATGCACCAACTCATGTGAGATGAAGTTATGCGACGCCCCAATATCAACTAGCATGATAACTTCTTCCTTATCAATGTGTCCTTTGATTTTCAGAGTCTTATCTAGGTAATACCAACATATAATTCATTGAAAGACCAAGGTTCATTTGGTTATGGGTCCTCACTGGCAATAGGTTTGGATTTGTCCTCTTCTACTTCATCGTCCTCCCATGAAAGAAAATCTATAGATACTTGCTTTGCATCAATGATTTGGGCTAAATTTTTCATCACATCTGAAGCACATATCCATTCCCTCTTGTATTGTTTTTTTGCCTCTAAAAGTGAAGAAAATTTCCCTTCTAAAGCTAGACATTGCCATCTCCAGTGGTTTCTCCTCCTATCGAGTGGTTTATGGTCGAATACCTTTATTATGGCATTTTTTCAGAGTTTGACGACCAATCGGGTCGCCCAATTCTGGGCTTAAGAAACCTGAGTGCAAGATTCCTTCCACTTTGGGTTCTAGCAAGCTTAGGCTTACCCTTATCCATATCTATTTCTTTCCTCCAACTCGGTGAACTTGCTCCATCACCCATTTAATTTATTGGGCTTCATTAGGCGCAATTCAACCCTAATGTCCTCTTTCAGCTCATTACAAAAATACCCATTAACATCTCCTCCCCTAATTCTTTCAAGAGGCAAATAGCCTCAAACTCCTCCCAATATTCCTCACCGACGATGTCTGCTTTAGGGCCACCAACGTTTCATAAGTTGTCCCTTGGAAAGACATCAAAATCTAGCAATTAGGGCATCTTAAAAACCTTCCAAGTGAATTGGCACCTGAGATTCCACCCACTGGTACCAATTTAAAGCTCTCCCTTCCATATACATGGCAACTACTTCCTCATCTACAATCCTTCATATCGGTTGATAGTGAAATACATCTGCCTTGAAGGTCCATCCAAAGGATCGGCAACTCCAACTTCCTGATCTTCTTGTCCTTCTTCCTCGACTCACCGCTCTGGTATCGTCTTGTCCCATGTTTTTCGCTAATATTTTGATTTTTTGATGCCGATGATTTCTCTTCTCACGTGTTCGCTTTCTTCCTCTCCTTCCTCTCTTAATCGCCTTAACCTCTCTCATCTTATAAGTTTCCTTAACACGTGTACGCGTACATTTGACTTTGATGGGCAGGAAATCAAGTGCTAAAACCAAAGGTTATTTTTTCCAAGGTCTTATAGTTGTTTAGCACTTGTTTTTTGAGAGGACAAGTCTTTTAAAGAAGATTTTTTAGCTCCCAAACTATTTTACATCTAACTTTTGAAAGCGAATGAAAATGGGTGTGCGACAACAATGAGTTCCGCCATTTTCGTCAGTTTCTTTGCGAAAACATGGTAAATTCTTTGTTTCTTTTCACTTTCTACATTGTTTTTGCATTTTCTTCTCAAGTTTCAAGCCATTCTAGAGAAGTTTCATTAAATTTTCAAGGATTTCTAGAATTTTTAGATAAGGGACTAAGGTTTTTGGAAATAGTGGTTTCTTGGGTGGTTCTTATTTTGGTGTTTTTTGTTTTGATTTAAATGGGAAAGAAGGAACCTAGTCTTCAAGGAGTTCAGATGGTGTTATTGTTGAGCCGCATGGGAAGTTGGTGAGTCGTTACCACAGAGTGGGTTTGGAGACGAATGGTGTGGGTCTTATTGATAATATTGGAGACCAAGCTGAGTGACGTGTTTGGGGTGCCCATACGAGAATGCTTCCATAAGTTTTGTGCTCCCCAAGGTGATGACTGGCTCTAACTGAGGGAGTGAGTGTGGCTTTCCGTGTAGGGCAAATGCCAATGGATCAGGGGCCAAGCCAGTGATGAGGCTCCAATAGTTGATAGTCAGTAGATGATTCTAAGAATGAGACTAGTTTTAAGGCAAATGAGCCAACAGGAGTGAGATGCCATTTACTAATGATGGCTATGGGGACGAGCCGAGCTATCTCGGAGGTGCATGCTTATTGATACTCGCCATCTAATTCGTCTAGGAAGAGGTGTTAAACTTAGTTATCTCTACAAGATACTTGAGTCCATTGTGGTAAGATTCCCCAGTTATAGAAAGGTGGACTGGTTCGTGCCGGGGTGGGGTAGATCAATATATATGAGCAACAATGATTGAGGGTATGTGACTTCCCATATTGAGTTATTGTGGCAGGTGCTAAATCATTTTCTCATTGCTCCAAGCCAATTCATGTCAAACGTATGAAGGTTACTCATGTTATAGATATTATGTATGCGGCTTTGCATAGAGTTCAGAGTGCGGGATCTGCTCTACTCCTACTATTTGAAAAAGCATGACAAAGAGGGTAGGTACCTTTTCATGCTTCGGAAAGACAGGAAAGATTTAGTGATGGGGTTGAGAATTATGACAAGAAATGGAAGAATGAGTACTTCTTTCTCAAAGGGGAGTTCATCTTTGGGGAGATGAGGCTGAGAATATTCTTTTCTTTTGGCAAGTGACTAGTGTGTACTTGTTAATTCATTTTCTTCTGAGATGTACTGATTCTCATTACATCTTCTTTTGCGGATATATCATATAACCAGATCTCGGATTGCTGTCGATGAACAAAGTTGAGCTATTCTTGACTCCTTGAAGAAGAGAGACATAATGTCAGTTGTTGGTGGAGTCTCATTTGAGGCAGAGCCATTTATAGAGTCGAGTGCCAGAATTTCAGCAAGTATCTTGTTCCCACCTTGGAGTTGTTGCTATACACCCTGTTGGTTCAGTACTACAACTTTCTCATCTTGGTAAGTCTCCTCTATAACGAAACTATTGATCTACTCATAACTCTTGAATCTCATGCTTGAGGATCCTATTAAGGGCACTACAACTATCCATCATGATATAAATGAAGTATGACCATATCCAAGAAGATTTTGATGCACAAAAGGTTAAATTTCAAATGAAGAAGAAATGATCATCATGAAAGCATTACGCACCACTAGGGGTGGAAAAAAAATTGAAAACCGAACCGAACGAAAAAACTGAACCAAAACCGGACCGAAAATTAGGTTTTTTTAGGGATTCGGTTCAGTTTCGGTTTACAATAATGGGTAAACCGAATATTCGGTTCGGTTTTGGTTTTTTTAAAAACATAAACTGGTTAACCGAAACCGAATTGTTAAACCCATTTTAAAAAAAAAAAAAAATTTCTTTCATTAAATCCTTCTCTTTTTCTCGGTATTATACCACTCTCTCTTTTTTGATTTCTCCACTTTTTTCTCTTATTAAATGCCTTTCTCTCTTTCTCTCTTTCTTCATTTTCTCTTTTATTAAATGCCTCTCTCTCTCTCCCTCGATCTCTTCAATCTTCATCTTTCACTTTTATTAAATATGTCTCTCTCTCTCCTTCTCATTTTCAAACTTTCTCTTTTATTAACTTCCTCTCACTCTCTCTGCAAATACGCATCCACCATTTCTATCTTTTCCTTCTCTTAACTTCCTCTCACTCTCTCTCACTCTCTTTGCAAATACATATCCAACATTTCTATCTTTTCCTTCTCTGCAACTTCAGTTCCAATGTTCCATACTCCAAATAAAACTTCATCATCAAAACCATAAGCCATCTGCATAAGCACCATCAACCACGGTTTCACCATCTTAACCTATCACTCAACCTCCAATCCGAAAAAATCCTAGAAAACTATGGTCTCCCTTTTATTGGTCTTTGGTTTCACCATCTCAACTTGCCACTCAACCTCCAATCCGAAAAATTCTAGGAAAAATATGGTTTCCATTTTATTGGTCCGATCAAAGACCAATTGGAGTGGGTGAGTGGCAAGCTATAGTAAATTTGGCCAAATTGGAAGGTTTTATTGAATTGGGCCAACTGGTCCAGACCATTTTAAAAAACCGGTTAACCAAACCAAATTTTCGGTTTGGTTACAAACCGATTTAAATAAAAAACCGGTTCGGTTTTGGTTTGGTTTTTTATCTAAACCAGAATCCGGTTTGGTTCAAATATAAGATAAACCGGTTCGGTTAACCAGTTTTTTCCATCCCTACGCACCACATGGAAGTCAATTACAGCATAAAGCAAAGTGAATCTACAGTTAAATCAGAAAATGAGAAATAAAATTTGTATAAGCACTTGGACAGTGAAATATTAACATATACATTGATACAAACCTCAACCAAAACAGCAAATCCAACAGCTCAAACACTCACAAAACAGTATTCTCAGTAATACATAATTAATAAGAAACAAATGGATATGAATTATATTGATATAGACTGATAGAAATATAAGAGAACAATAATGAAAAAATACATCTACTAGCAGTTTGAGGAGCTAGTAACCTCCCAACAATAATCCTTTGGAAAACAAGCTAAATGAATCATGAAAATTAGTCCCCCTTATAAGCACTCTCAGCTCCCTACTAAAACCCTATAATATCAGGAAACGTGTGCCTACTAATCTAACTAATTCCCACTGCCTTTATTCCCCCAAGTGGTCCTTCTCCCCTGCTAGATATACCGCTTAATGATGGGTGGTCTATTAATACCCCAGCTTGAAGTGTCACATTGTCCTCAAGGTGGAAATGAGGAAATTGGGTGGCAATCACTTCATAAGATTCCCAGGTGGCTTCAAAAGGAGGAAGATCTTTCTAATAGTGAATAAGGACTTCCTTGGAACTATCTAGCAAAGTGTGAGAAGAAAGCACAGCTTCTGAATGAACTAAGAGCTCCAAATCCTCGATGAGAGATTGAGGTAAAGGTTGAGTGGGGATTGAGCTATGTAGGCTTCGTTTGAGTTGGGATACATGGAAAACTAAGTGGATAAGAGTTATGGTATAAAGGGCTAGTTTGTAGGCCACTTGGCCAATCTTTTCCACCACCTCAAAGGGACCATAAAATCGTGGGCTTAACTTCTCATTGATGTTCTTGGCTAAGGACCTGAACTTTCTAGACATCATTTTTAATACCCTCCCAAAAGGCAACTCTAGCCACTTTTTTATATATCCTAAAGAAGCCTAAATGGCCTCCACCAAGGCTGAAATGAAACTCTTCCAGCAACTTGGGAATAAATCTGGAAGTTTTAGGGAGTACTAACCTCTTGTTATATGCCGAGCAACCTCTATGGAGTTATAATGTGGCTTGCTATTTGGGTCAAACAATAAGTTCTAAATGATGAATGGTAACTTGGGATCATGTTGGGCTTTTTCAGCTAAAGTGTCAAAATCAGTGAACTGGACCAAGGTGATGGCTTTGCATTCAACTTCCACTTCTCTGGGGGACAGAGCATCAGCCACCTTATTTTTGTTGTAAAGGTAGTAATGTATCTCAAATGTGAATCCCATAAGTTTGGAGATCCATTTTTACTTCTCTGGTGTTTTCATGCATTGGTCAAGTAAGAACTGGAGGCTTCGTTAACTCTGTTTTGATAATAAACTTGCTGCCCAACAGGTAATGACTCCACTTGTGGACAACGAAAACTATGGCCATGAGCTTTCTCTCGTAAACTGACTTTTGCTTGGATTGGGGAGAGGAGGCTTTACTTAAGAAAGCAATTGGCCAAGACTACTAAACCAGAACTGCCCCAAGTCCTTACCCCAAGGCATCTGTGTGAACTTTGAATGGAATGCTGAAATCAGGGGCTATCAACACTAGTACAATAGTCATGGCTGTTGTATGCTGCTCGAAAGCTTGTTGGGCTTCTTTATTCCAACTAAAAGCATATTTCTTAAGCAGTTGGGTTAACGTAGTGCCATGATCCCATGCCCCTTTACGAACCTCCTATAGTAACCTATGAGCCCTAAAAATCCCCTCAGACTTTTCACATTATTCGGAACTAGCCAAGCTTTCATTGCTTCCAATTTTTGAAGATCTACCTCCACTCATTTTTCCTACACTAGGTGACCCAAATATTCAAGTTTCCTCTACCCAAATAGACATTTCTTATGGTTAACCACCAAATCATGATCCTGTAGTAACCTAAAGGTTTGAAAAAGGTGCAATATATGCGTGTCTATGTCTAGGTTGTAAATTATGATGTCATAAAAAAAGCTAAGGCAAATTTTATGAGGACAGGTTTGAATATAGTGTTCATAAGGGTTTGGAAGGTGGATGAGGCATTAATTAAACCAAAGGGAATCACTAGGAATTCGTAGTGGCCTTCATGAGTTCTAAAGGCCGCTTTTTGATACATCTTCCTCCTTAACTCCAATCTGATGGTATCCTGGCTTTAAATCCAATTTGGAAAAAATGGTTGCTCCGGCTAGTTCATCTAATAGTTCATCGATGGTAGGAATGAAAAATTTGTAGGGTATGGTAATACTATTGAGGGTCCTATAATCGATACAAAACCTCCAGCTGCCATCCTTCTTCTTAACCAATAAAATTAGACTCGTAAAGGGGCTGGTGTTGGGTTGGATGATGCCAGCCACTAACATTTCGCCAACCAACCACTCAATCTCAATTTTTGAAAATAAGGGTACCTATAAGGTCTGATGTTAAGGGGTTAAGCTCTTTCCCTAAGCACTATGGCATGGTCATGTTTTTTTTTTGGGGGGGGGGGGGGGGGGGGGGGGGGTGTAATCTAGTGGGTTGATCAAACAAGTGTTTAAACTCCTCCAATACCCTTGCTACCCTAGGCTCCTAAGGCTCCTCTTCAAATTCTAGTTTATACTCAATTGAACATAATTCCACCAAATACCCAGTTCCTGCTGTTTGTACTGACCTCAACATGGCTTTAAGGGATACAATAGTGTTTACCTGTGAGGGGTCCCCCTGTAACATCACATGTCTCCTTTCTACCTCAAAAGCCATGGTTAAATTCTTCCAATTCGCACACATGTCCCCAAGTGAACTCAACCAGGATACTCCTAATACCACATCTACTCCTCCTAAATCAAAAGGAAAATAATCTTGTTGCACCATAACTCTTTGTATCTCCATTTTTATTCGTATACATATCCCTTCCCCTCTTACTGTCACCTTGTTACCCACCATTACTCCAAAAGTCTTTTCCCTTTCAACCAATATACCCAATCTACGCACCAACTCATGTGAGATGAAGTTATGCGACGCCCCAATATCAAATAGCACGATAACTTCTTCCTTATCAATGTGTCCTTTGATTTTCAGAGTCTTATCTGAGGTAATACCAACAATATAATTCATTGAAAGAGTCAAAGGGTTACATTTGGTTATGGGTTCCTCATTGGCAATAGGTATGGATTTGTCCTCTTCTACTTCATCGTCCTCCCATGAACGAAGAATCTACAGATACTTGCTTTTGCATCAATGATTTGGGCTAAATTTTTCATCACATCTGAAGCACATATCCATTTCCCTCTTGTATTGTATTTTTGCCTCTAAAAGGCGACGAAAATTTCCCCTTCTAAAGCTAGACATTGCCATCTCCAGTGGTTTCTCTCTCCTGTCGGGTGGTCTATTGGTCAAAGAATACCCTTGTTATGGCATTTTTTCAGAGTTTGACCACCAATCGGGTCGCCCAATTTCTAGGCTTAAAGAAACCTGAGTGCAAGATTCCCTTCCACTTTGGGTTCTAGCAAGCTTGGGCTTACCCTTATCCAATATCTAATTCTTTTCCCCAACTCGGTGAACTTGCTCCATCACCCATTTAATTTATTGGGCTTCATTAGGCGCAATTCAACCCTAATGTCCTCTTTCAGCTCGTTAACAAAAATACCCATTAACATCTCCTCCCCTAATTCTTTCAAAGAGGCAAAATGAGCCTTAAACTCCTCCCAATATTCCTTCACCGACGATGTCTGCTTCAGGGCCACCAACGTTTCATAAGTTGTTCCTTGAGTCCATTGTGGTAAGATTCCCCAATAGATATGAAAGGGTGGACTGGTTCGTGCCGGGGTGGGGTGGATCAGTATATATGAGCAGACAATGATTGAGGGTATGTGACTTCCCATATTGAGGTTAGTGTGGCAGGTGCTAAATCATTTTCTCATTGCTCCAAGCCAGTTCATGTCTAACGTATGAAGGTTACTCATGTTAGTAGAGATTTTATGTATGCGGCTTTGCATAAAGTTCGGAGTGTTGGATCTGCTCTACTCCTACTATTTGAAAAAGCATGACAAGGAGAAGAGTATGTACCTTTTGATGCTTCAGAACGACAGGAAAGATTTAGTGACGGGGTTGAAGAATTATGACAAGAAATGGAAGAATGAGTACTTCTTTCTCAAAGGGGAGTTGATCTTTGGGGAGAGGGAGCTGGAGATATTCTTTTCTTTTGGCAAGTGACTAGTGTGTACTTGTTGAATTCATTTTCTTCTGAGATGTACTAAGTCTCATTACGTCTTCTTTTACAGATATATCATATAACCGTATGATCCTGGGATTGCTTGCAGAAGAACAAAGTTGAGCTATTCTTGGACTCCCTGAAAAAGAGAGACATACTGTCAGTTGTTGGTGGAGTCTCATTTGAGGCAGAGCCATTTATAGAGCCAAGTGCCAAAAATTCAGCAAGGTATCTTGTTCCCACCTTGGAGGTTGTTGCTATACACCCTGTGGTTCAATACTAAACTGTCCATCTTGTAAGTTCCTTCTCACCCTCTAACCTCCGCAAGAATCTTCCTTGTAGTAGAGAGGATGAAGGGGCTTTTTCAGGTGCCAACGTTGGAGAACTTAAAGAGAAGCTTCAGCCAAGAAGGGGAAAGAGAAAGAGGTAAATTTGTGGAGATGCGTCGGTTCTGATGTATGCACTTTTGGCTCCACCCCACTAACTTTAAAGAGGTTGCCAAGTTAGTAAGGTGGCTTTCTCTGAGTGATGAGGCGGGAAGTGTCATCCCTCTTACTGCTGTTACGCTTATGTCCGATCCTTCTTCGTGGGGGAGTGATCACGAAAATAGGCCTTATGATATGTGGATTCAATGATGTAATTTTGTTTTTTGTTTTGTGAGGTAAATTGGTTCTAGGAACAAAAGGGAGCTCTTTTCCTCATTTTTAACTGGAACATACGTGAGGGAGAAGGCCTTATGGTTTAATACAATGAGGGGAAAAGCTAATCTATGTTTGGTGGTTTCTGGGAGGTTGTCTAGGAAGGTTGGTTGGATTCCAAAAGGGTGATAAGAGGATTGGAGTTAGAACTCGTTTTGGGTTCTTGAAGGTCAAATTAGTTTAGATGAATGGGTTATTATTGGGTTACAGGTGCCGGCGTTGGAATTTTTTGGGGCTGGTATCAAAGGAAGGGAGGGGGTTTATAGAAGTTGGTTGGGGTGATGGATACATGAGTTTTCATTTTGGTTAGTGGCGGGTGATTGGTATGGCTGCTGGCATGGTGTACACGGGTAGATTGTGGGGCTATTTGCGGGAGAGAAAGTGGGCCAGCTTGACTCGTTGTGTTGCCTTTCCGCTTAGGCTCCCTATGCAAGGTTGTGCACCACTTTGCTTGGGAGTATTTTTAGGCCATTGCTTGTTATCAATTTCATATACTCCTTTGCAAAAAGTGGTAAGATGGTGTTAATCATTTCATTTCTCTATGGCTCTAGCCTTGGCGTTTCTAAATCCATCCACCTAATAATTACAAACTTTTCATTTCTGTAGTTTTGTTTCTGTTGCACATCTTCTAGTTGGAGTTATATATTATTGGTTTTGGGGTGTTGGTCTACCAAGCGTGCTATAAGTATGAGTTCTTGTCTTGCTGTCTTTCTCTTCGGCACATTTCATTGATGGAAATAAATAATATTTTTGTATTAGTTAAGTTCATTTGATTTTGAACCAGAACTAGTTACTGGATTACTGACTAAACAAAGAGTTTTTTGGGCACCTCAAAGGTTTTCCAGGCGATTTAAACCATTTTTTGATGCCTCCACTGGTTAAGTATGTATCTCTTTCATTCGTTGTTATTATGATAATGATGTTAATCACCACTTCTCTGGTGGCTTTATACTTCATAGCTTTGGAAAAGAAAAACAATAACTGTGTGGTTTTGAATGTTCTCTTGTGTGCGTGTGTGTGAGGGTGTTGTCCATGTTTTTATTTTTGTTTCGTTTATGAGATTAAATCTAGGTTTTGTGTCTAGTGTTAGTGTTATGGTTTGTCTGGGCATGTTTTTTTTATTTATTTATTTTTTTTTGGTTCTTTGGAGCTTGGAGCTTTTCTTACATGTCTTGGTGGTTGGTAATTTAACGTCGTATGGCCAGGATTTCGATTGATTTTGATGAACACAAAACTATAGATACTAAGTTTTGACTCTGTGAAGTTAATAGAGAGCTCGATGCAACTTTTTAAGAAGTTTCTGTAACAATATGTATTGTGTAAAACTCCGTTGAGGGTTTTTTTTAATTTATTTTATTTAGAATTCAATAGATTAAATGGGCTGTTGTATGAACTAATACGTTGTGTGAGTTTTTTTTTTTTTTTTTTTGGTTGTACTTTTGTTTTGTAATCATTTATTCATTTTATTTTAAATAGGGTTACACTTGTCAATTATTGTAGCATTTTTTTTTCTAAATATGGCAGTTCTTTTCTTCATTTGTGATGTTTGGTACTACATTTTGTTATTGAGGTCTGGTATATGGCTGGAATTGAGGGTGCACTACTACTGGTGGGAAGGTACTTTGCACCTTTATGGTGCAGAGGCTTGTAAGTTTCAGGTTGACCCTCAGCTAACACGCCACATAGATCTCATTGTGTGCGTTGTTGTAGTATTAAAAGAATACAAGGTCTAGTGCTAAATTTTGATGTTAAATTATACTGTAAAAGGCTTAATGGATTGTGATATGTTGGGGTTATGAAAGATAAATGAATTCAATTGCTTTGTTATAGTAACTTCCATGAACATATACATGCATATTAATTCATGTTGGATTGATGATATGTGGAGTTTGAAAAATGTTGTAGTGAAACTTGAACCCTAAAATGAAGAAAATCCAGCCAAATAGTGGGGCTGGTTCGCTTGAATTGATTCATGGAAGAGTGACCATTTTTCTTAACTCCGTACATATTTTTTTTTTCATAAATGTTTGGGTAATGCTAGGTGTAATTGTTTGATTGTTTGTTTATGTTTTGATTTTGGCATGATCTGCTTGAGTAAATTTGAGCTACTTGTTTTGTTGTGGTGGATTTTTGGCCATTTGTTAGGGTAGGCAGCAGTATAGTGCTATATTTCTAATTTCTAGTCATCTTTTTATTTTGTTATTGAAAACCATGCATGGTGTATCTCTTTATCTATCTACCTTTTTCGGCAATATTAGAATGGCAACCCTATGGAGGAAATTGTCGAAAGATGTAACTCAACAAATACAATTGAAGATTTATGAACATTTAGGAGTTGGTAATAGAAGCATCTTGGAAATTGCTTTTGCTTATGCTTCTGCTTTTTTTGTAGATCTTCCTTTTAACCAAATTTTGCTGTACTAAATTTATAGTTTTGTTTAGATGTAACCAAGGAAGAATTTCATACAATTATGTTCTTTTGTATGAAGATTTCTTTTAAATCATGAAGAATTTTCATACACATTGCTTAGCACAAATGAGCAATTTTATTCTGCTGCTTTCTTTGTATATATACTTTGAAATTTTGCTACTAAATAGGACAAATTGGTCATTGTCATCTCATTTTTACAAACTCATGACAAATTGGTCATTTCATAACATTATAACTTGATGGCATAATCGTATTCAACTAATGATGTGGGTATTTAGTAATTGAATGAGTTGCGTAGCCATAAATTAATAAAAAAAACTAAAATATTAAACTTCGAAAGGCATTTCAGTCTTTTATACCATTTTTGTCCTTTAGCAAACATAAATCCCTAACAACACATGACGGAAGGTGCCTGTTTGTCTTTTCCAAATCTTTTGGGTACTAATTTGACTTTACAGCAAACTTTGGGTAGGTGTACGTCGTTCCCTTACTGTTATTAACTTATTATTAGGGCTGTGCAAAATTATCCGCTATCCGAACCGAACCAAACTGAATTTTTCGGGTACCCGAAAATTCGGGTCAGTTTCGGATAGTAATTCATGAGATATCCGAATTTTCGGTTCGAGTATCGGGTCTTATTAAAATACAATCGGGTACCCGATACCCGATTTTATTAAAAAAATAAAAAGTAAAAAGTAAAACAATTTTTCCTTTTTTGTTTGACTCATAACAAAAGCCCTAAATTAATTTAACCCTAAAACGCAAATTTCTCTCC